AATAAAAATAGTAAGTGAAATAAGGCAAGAAAGGAGAAACAAAAAAAGAAAAATAATAATAATAAAATGAAAAAGATAAAGAGACATCGCCCTTATTCTCCTATGCCGTGTCTTGTCTTCATCTATTGATGCGATCTGAATCCGTGCCCGTGCCCCCGATATTTTATCTCACAGTCAATGTTCTTATTTCTTTTAGGGCGATTCTTCCCTTTGCTCCTTTTTCAGTTATTTCTGCGTATTTCCTCGTTAGAGATGCTTGAGCGCTTCAATTGCATCTCTATAAAGAGGCGAGTTCCTTTATAATGTGCTGGAGCGAATACATCTAATGAAAGCGAAGAGCTTTGCTGATGTTATGTCATTGACGTATTCCCATTAAATGATAGTAAGCCAATATAAGTAGCTGCATCATTATTATTCATAGATAGAGAGCACAAAATTTTTAAATCGAATGAATTAGTGGAGATTGAATTATGGAATAAACTTCACACGTAGTCTGGCAAATATTACTGAAATAATTTACATTTTAAGTCATATAACCGTATTGAAAACTTATTAAATTTGCAATCCAAGTCACGGTTCAATTATTATTTTATGGATTTTCATAATAAGGCTTCGGGTTAAGCTGTAATATTTAACTGATAATTAATGCGAGCTTTCTTTATGAAAATACCAATTTTGTTGTTGTTGTTGTTGTTGTTGTTTTGTTTTGTTTTGTTTTGTTTTGTTTTTTTGTTTTTTTTTTTTGTTTGTTTTTGTTTTCATAAATAGATTAATAGTATTTTGTAAGTGAAAGAAGCAAGAACAACAATGAAAGTATACGTTGTATTAAAAGACGCGATGATCTAGAGGATAAACAGAGCATCGGATAAGAATTGATTTGCCTTAAACAAGGGAATATATAGTAGCGATTACTTCGCGTCGTACTGTGTCAAAATAGCGATATTGGCTTTCTCAAGTATTATAATTTTTACTTAGCGGATAAAAATGTTCAATGATTTTACAAGATCGTAGAGATATATTGTACGAATTTTGGGTGAAAAGTAATAAAAGCTTTTTGTAAATTTCGGCAACAACAATTTTGTTCTTTCGAATATTCAACGAAGAAAACAAAACTTTGTGTTTTGGTTTATAAAATCTAGATGGTTGTTTACGTAATATTGGCAATAATTTAGTAATTAATTTTTAATAATTTTTCGTACCAATATTCGTACAATACTTTCTTTATTAATATTACATGATTGATTACTCACTATAGTCCTTTTTTTTCACATTTTTCCCTTTTCATTCCTTTTCTTTTTTTCTGTTTTTTTTCTTTTGTTTTCTTTTTTTTTTCTTTCATTTTTAGAAAACGAAGTATTCAACTTCCGATATTACTTTCTACATACTGATATTTTTCATCAGTTATTACAAAGATACTTATAATTGTACAGTACAATGTTAATGATACAATATAGACTCTGTGTAAGATATAATAATTATCGTGCTGTCTTCCATATTTCTACTCTCACTTATTTTGGGCTTTTATAATTACACTATTACTGTCGCCTTAGAAAGTGATTGTTTTTTTTTTTTTTTTTTTTTTTTTTTTTTTTTTTTTTGAATCAAGGTCCAATTATTTAATTTGAATGAAAAAAAAAGAAAAAAAAATTTAACCACGTTTATTTTTAAATTTTCACACCACACTCATTCACTTGTTAAAATAAATAATCGATAAGATGGAATTTTAATAAACTAATTTTATTAAATACCAACTGAATAATGTACAAAATTCATCGTTACTAAACATACGATTCTATCATCAATATTCAGGCTCTCTTTCTCATTTGACTTTATTGCTTATTGCTTGCTTTTGAATTGTGATACTAAGGCAGAAAAGGAATAAATTTTCTTCTTTGTTTATCGCACAATTATTTAGCCATTCTTGGCATTGAGTTTCTTAAATAACGAAGGATTGCATTCTATTTCGTATATATATATATTATAAGTAAATTAACATTCTTTATTAAATTAAAATTTATATATTTATGCTTATATTAAGAACTTTTTTTGTTGTTGTTGAAAAGTAACGAAAAGATCCTATTTAATAATTAATATTCTATAATTAGTTAATAGAGATTTCAAATGATAAAGCAAGGCAAGGCTTTCTTTGTTATACCATAAAATTATTTGACAATACAATACTAAAGATATTTAGAATATCGTAATAAAAGAAATTGTAACATTATTTTTTGAGCCATTGTTGATGTATTTTATGATTATATGTATATATGAAAAATATTCTAAAACCTTGAAAATAGGTATTTGTTTTTTATCGATCTCCTTTCATCGATCAATTTATATGGAATTATTACTTTTGTATATGAAATTAAATTTTCATCGAATAATAAATAAATAAATTAGTAAATATATAAATTAATAATTATTATATGATATTTATATTTATATATATATATATATATATATATATATATATATATTCACGTGAATATGATTGTCTCATGATTTTTCGTATGCATTAAGACAATGAAATAAGGAATTAATTAATTTTATTATTATCGTGGCTTTTTAATCACACCGATTATTCATAATTGAAATTTTTCTTACACCGTGTCTACGGTTTTTTTTTATTTTACACGATTTTACATGATTCACAGTAATATTTTGAAATAGAAACATAAATAGTCGTCTGCATTTTTTCTTTGTAAAACATAATATCACATTCATGTCACATAATGCTAAATGAATTTAAACATCTTTATGATAAGACTGTATTTATGAGAAGAGTGAGAAACTTGAAATTCACTCAGCTAATGATAATCCTGAAGTAATTTATGAATCTCAACACCTCACCTTCTTCCCGTTGCCTTATACGAATACAGAGAAAGAGAGTGAAGAAGTTCATTGTCGGTAGAATTTTCTCTCCTAGTTGCTTAACGATGAAGAGACTGAGACAACGAAAACGGGTATAGTAGACAAAAACATCTCCGATCAGACAGATGCACTCAGTGAAATTTCGAATTTCGTCTCGGCGCTAAATTAATCACAGTTACAGCAATTTACATATCGCGCCCATTGTTCCGAGATGAAAGAGAATCTCTCGCGAACTCTTTTTTCGTCGTCTTTCGCCTCTATCCTGTCGGTGTTCATCGTTTTTCTTCCCTCCATTGTCTCGCTGAGAAGAAATCTAATAGACACTTTAAAGTGTTCGAGGAGAATTACTTTTATCGGAGAGGGGTATCCAGTAATTGGTGATTCTGCATCGATGAAAACGTTGTTGCTCTCGTTATTTGTTGTATTCAGTGATCGATTTCGAGATCATTATGGAGTATGATTCGTTGTTCCACAGTGCCGAATTTAATTTTAAACCATGACTTTTTTTTTCTTGTTTGTTTGTTTGTTTGTTTGTTTGTTTGTTTGTTTGTTTGTTTGTTTGTTTGTTTGTTTGTTTGTTTGTTTGTTTGTTTGTTTGTGTATAATAGTAACGATAACAATAACAACAACAGCAACATCAACAAGAAGAAGAATAATAATAAGATTGCCGATGATGAGTATGATGACGCCAATTATCTAAAAGTACGTCTTAAAACATCTTTGACGAGATTGAACTATAAATGAAAATTTTATGATACCATATTTAAGTTATTGTATTTTTAAAAATAATATATTACTTGTGTTTTAAATTTCGGGCAAACCGAAGATTTTTATTCTAATTCGTAACTGTCTTTCACTGATTAACTTCATTTATTTCTTATTCCTTTAAAGTGTCTATTAGAAGGTCACTTAGATAATCATTTTTCTCCTCTTATTATACTGCGTGATAATATTTACGCTATGTCATTTATGAATAAATCACCTTTGATGACTTCCTCAATATATTCTTACCCTTGAAATTATCGGCGTAATTTCTCTTTCTTCCATACATAAATTCTCGCACACAGTCACATCTATACCCACTCATGTACAAACTCGGCATTAAAGCAAGAACTTTCAGATACAGATTAAGGATATAACTCATCGTGCTTTCGTCCTAAAGCTTATATAATGAATCAAGCTCCCCACCTTTTGCTTTCTAGCATCTTCTATTCACGTACACACGTACATTTAACCTGTCCTTTTTCTATTATGCACATTATCCTGCGTTATTTGCAGCACGTAATGAACGTTAAATCATCGTTTTTCTTACATAATGAGCTTCTATGATATGGTCTAACCCATAATTATTTATGTATCGTATATTTCGTTAAATCTTACCTTCGCTAAATTTATAAACCTATTTCCTTATCTTAATATACTCATTATGATCTCATCCATCTCGTCAAAAAGACTCCGTCTTACCATTTAGTCTTTAATGCATAATTTTACACCTTTCGTGCATATCATATAATAATGGTATTGCCTAGAAATTCGACAAGATTTCACAGAAATCTATTTTTCATGGCCTTGGCCTCGCTAAACATTGTACTTACCCATTCATTCGACTACCTAAAGTTAACTTAACGGTACTTTAATATAACAGGTAAATATTAAGTAATTCATAGGTTAAAGTATGCATGAATTGCAAACTTATTATGCGAAATTAGTAATTCGTGAAATGTCATTGATTCAGCTTTGAAAAGTTGCCGATACATTCGAAGGTATTTTAAATAGTCGTCAGACTACTTGAATCAGTACAAAATATTGTTGATTAGTAATACAAGCTTATCTATTTCAAATACCGAGTTGGTGTCGATAATCTTTCGCGATTAATTTAAACTTTCCAAATGATTCTCATTGTTATTTATTATCGTCAACTGTACATTAATGTCCTTTATTCTGTCGTCTTTGTTCACTTCAATTTAATCACCAAAGCACGTCGCATCTCGATGAAAAGTTTCAACTGTTCAATTTATTTATGCTAACGGAGCAGATAATGTTCAGTTTGGAACTCAATTAACATTTTATCGTATTATTCGGCCGTATGAAAATCTTCGATATTCACTGGTAGTGCGCGCAAGGGCGCCGCAGGCTTAATAGGATCGTCCGCGCAAATGCGTTAAAAAAATCTTCTTCTCTGCGTATGCGTATCTGCATACATGACGCATTGGCTCGCGAGATACAATTTCTCTGATTATCATCTCTCCTCACTCATCCCATCCTCACCTGACGAAGACAAGCAGAGTTGAAGAGCTCAAGCGCACCTACTCTGCTGATTGATTGCTTGTTCGAGGTATCGGGCGTTATTCTTAACGACTTTGGTATTTAGAATCACCTGAATGCGGCGAGGAACAGGATCAACGCTGACAGGATTAGGTGAATCGATTGATTTCTCAAGCTACTGGCGCCGTCCATACATTGACCTAGAAAGGCAAAGCAATATGGTATTACAGCCAATGTGATTTTCTTTCAATTCATGAAACGATTCACTTTATTAACCCATAACCGATTCTGGCCATATAAATGTAATACAAAAAGGCAATAGGAAAGTTAGAATTTTTTAAAATTTTAACAACATTTTCAAGCTAATATTATTATTAAAGGAAGTCGAGCCGTCTCCAATTCCCGGGTCATTAGTCGCCAAATTCGATATTAATCACGATAAATAGAAAAAAATCAAAGATATTATGGAATATACTTAACAAATTTCAATATTTGAGCGCTTTGTAATTAACGCTGAAAAGCGAAATGAAAAGCTTCTGACTAATAATCCCTCAAGTGACAAGTGAATTATATCGAATTATCAAATGTCATCTTAGGATTAACATTGAAAAGGCGCCGTTCGTTAATTTACAAAATGATATGAAACACGAGGCTGTGCCGCCAGCACAGCCCATGAATATTAATAATAATCCAGCTGCATAACGATTTTTTACGATAAATTATTCAAAACAGTTGATTAGCTTACCGATGCTAGTGGCGTTGAAGGCGAGGAGGGGCGGTGGCGGAGGTATACCCCTTTGACAGGCGACGGGACTGGCCGTCAGGCTGACGACCCCACCGTTCTCCCGGTACATAAAGCAGAGCCTCCGGCTGTTCCTATAGGGCTGGGCCCTCGAGCCGTCGGGGCCGTTCCAGGAAGCGGGGTTGCGTCGCGCCAGCGGCGTCGCTATCACGAACTGCGTGCCCTCGGCGTCGAACCAGCGTCCGTGACACGAGTATGCTGCGAATAAGCGAGCGGAGAATCGATATTACGTGCCATGCCAGGCTTCTCGTAGATCTTGGGGCCGCGGGCTCTATTGCGGCCCGGGCACGTAATTATTGACATTTGGGTGCGGCGATTGCGGGATGCGAATGCGAGCCCAAGCGCCATCGCCTTAGATCACGCGGACCGCGGTAAGAGGACCTTCCGCGATTGCCCTGGAGCGAGAGGATTGCTCTAGTGAGGAAGTGCACCCCAATTTTGCGAGCCGTAATTTCTGACCGTTATTACTGGCTAATCCTGTAGGTGTCAACGTTAATACGAGAGCACAATAGGATGCTAATGATGGATGCTCTCGTTAGGCTAAGCCGAGCCACGAGAGTTTTGTTTTGTTTTGTTTTTATTTTAATACATCTTTTTAAGTGAATAAGGCGTGATAAAATATAGCGTGTGCAAGACTGGATATATCAAGTGCGTAAAGAACTTTTAACGCGGAGGACGATCAAAATTCATCGTACCTAGAGTTTAATGTTTATTGCTAGAACATGAATTTATCTATAATTTATCTATTGAATTATTACGTTTACTTTTCCATTTATTTTTACAGTATGCTCATAGCGTCATGGATATATATATATATATATATATATATATATATATAAAATTAAAAATAACAAAAAAAGAAGCACGAAAAGAATGAAAAGACATATATCATCCACTGATACTAGTGTATATATTTTTTTTTTTATTTTTTTGATGGTTCTTATAATTTGTTTTGCTTCGAAGCGCAAGGCCAAAATAACAAGTAATATGTTATTAAACTTTTTTTTTTAACAATTTAATAATTGATGGTGTACGTTCATCAAGTTATGAAATTGAATGAATTGCTTATAACCTATTTTATGAAATATAACTATTACGAGATGATTATTCAGCGTCTACAATTCGCTATTATCCACTGATTCACATGGATAATAATCTTATACATGCTCCTGGTATTACGTAAAATGCTTATGTGCGAGTCTACGTAAATAAAATACAGTTATAATTATTTTATCTCGATAGAAATGTTATAAAAAATGTCTAGAGTTAGTATTATGTTGCATTTGTGAAATCCCATTACAAGTATTGAATTTTATATAAAATTTTCTAGCAAACACTGTAATATAATAATATTTTCTTTCAAACGAATGCCTTATATTACCATCGTTTCAATTTAATAATGAAATTAGATAGATTAAATGAATTTTTGAATTAAGCAAAATTTTGATTCGTTTATTATCATTATTACAAAAAGAACTTTTAATGAATTGTAATTTCTTTAATTCAATTTGGATTAATTAATTGGCATAAAAATATTTTCTAGTTAAAAATAAATTTACCAGATGTCATATCTTTGTAATTATAATTCATCAAACTAATATCTAAAATTATCGTAATGAATAATTTAATTGTCATTATTCGATAAAAAGGGTATATGTAATTGGATGAAAATTTTCCAATTAAATTTATATTACATTCTTTAGTTAATAGAACTTTGTCGTCAAAAAATATGTTTATTTTTTTTTTATTTTAACATTTCGCTTATATAAACAATTTAATATAAACAATTTAATTGTAAAGAAGCCCGTTAAAAGGACTTTTCTTTTCTTAATAATTGGCATATGCGCTTCAGCCGATAATATTCTGACGAATAGTTGAAAAATTAATTTCTTTTTTTTTTATATTGTTGGCAATCTCTGAAAGTTTAAAATTTTCGTAAGGCAAAGATTTAATAAACAAAAGCAGTGCGTAAGGCATGAGGTCGTATATATTAGCGGGCTAAGTACCAAAGTCAGTGAAGACTAGTACGTATAAAGGGAGAATGACGTCACTCTTCCAAGCTCAGTAGCACAACTTTTTAATTAATTTTCCTGCTTGTTATTACAAGAAAATTCTATTATTAATTAATTAAAAATTGATGCTAATTTTTTATTTATAATGATTGAATAAAGTAGATAATTCATCGCTTAAGAGTCCATGTATTATATACGTTGGCTTAATTTTATAATGCAATTGGAATAATTATTTTCAGACATTATAGATATAAATTTTATAAGCTTCAAGATCTATAAATAATTAAATTAAGCAATATATTAAATTCAAGATAAATTTTGATTATGAATATTAATTTTACTTTGCAATAATGAACGAATGACTTAGGCTCTATTCATTCTGGGTAATTAGTAAAAAATATTATACTCCAAGTATGAATTCTCAAGGGTTTTGAATTAATTAGATGTTCTTAATAATATAGATAAGGCACGACGATATAGGTAATAAAAACAATATATCTATAAGTAATTGAGAAAATATTGCAATATTACGTTAACTTTACGCAAGATATTAAAGTATTTCCTCGTAAGAATTTTTATTGTTTGTTATTATTATTAGAAAAGGCTTATTTAATTAGCAAGAATTTTTGATTATTCGATAAAAACATTGTTGTTTCAAATTTTTTGTAGATTTTTTGCAGATGTGTTATTTTTTATTTTTTTATTTTTTTAAAGATTACAAATGACGTTTTCACATTTTCTATACAATTATATATTTAAACGCGTAAGATGGATAATTATTGCGAATAAATACTTGATGGCTTAAATACATTAATGTCATCAATTTGGAATTACGTTCTATAAGTTCTCTAAGTTGTATCAATATTATATAAGGCACGAAAGTTTGTAAAAAATAAATTTGCAAAAATTACAATATGCCACATTATATTTAGCTCAGATATAAGAATAAGCATTATATTAAATAAATTATTTTGTTAATTTATAAACAATTACTAATAATAGGTGACTGTATTTTAATCTATTATTGCTATAATATCATAAGACTACATTTGTCTTGTAAAATTAAACACCTCGTAATTATAATGTAATATTAGGAAAAACAAGGTCATGTACAATGTTGAAGCTAATGCATAAATTAATTCAATGTTATAAGGAAGCTTTATCTATTTAGCAGACTTTCAATAAATAAAATAAACATAATCATACCTAAAACTAGACGTATCAGTTGGAGGGGCATAACTTTGCTCGTTTTGTACATTTAATGATTAAGGAGATTTCCAATTATACAAATATCTTTGACCGGATATTCATTTACTCCCTTATACTTTGTCATCATTGGTCGTGAGACTCTACGATGACAGTGTCGAGTGGCGTTCCCCTTGTCACAAAACGACCAAGTTCCCTTAATTAAACGATATTGCCATGTATCCGCCTTAGAAGATGTTTCGTCGCGTCTCGCTTTCATCGGACCGTCTCTCAGTATATCTTATTTACCTCATAAGGCGAGGAGTCCCGAATAAGAGGAGAACAGAACCCACCTGTGACGAAGTCTTCGTCAACGCAGTCGCTTTGAAACTCCATCCTATCAGCGGTCGAGCAACCCACGGTCAAAGTCGTTATGTCGGAGTTGCACCTCGGTCGTTCTTCCTCGCTCTCCTCGCGTTTCCTTCTGTGGTCCAGCTCCTCCCGTTCCTCCCTCTCCGCATCCCTTTTGAGTCTTAACAGGTCGGCATAGCTGAGAAATCTCGGGTAGACGCGCGTTTTCAGAGGTTCGGCGACCTCCTCCATGTAATCGGCGAAGTAGTTGTCCTCGGCGACCTCCTCGATATTACGATCCTGCGAGTCATCCGTGACTCTCCGAGGACCCCAGCTCCGATGCATTTGTGCAAAGTCGTCCATATCCGCTTGGAAGTCCTCCAATTTTGGTTCGCGTCTCGTTCGGTACTTTCCTGCGGGTACGTACAATCGTTTTATTTTCATTCTCTTGCTGGCTCTTGCGTCGCGCGTCATAATATCAACTATAAATTCCACATCTTGAAGAAGTTTCGATCGCGCTTTAAAATTCGAAATTTAAGAGAAATTGGCATTTTTATTATTAAATTTGGGAAAAGTTATGGAGCCGGAGCCGTAAATATCGAAAGTTGGTCGATTTCAATTTGAGACGAGATACTTGAAATTCGAATCGACGACCTCGGTATCGTACCTAGTTTAAAATTGCTATTAGCTTACCATTACCGATCGATTACGTAAACAATTAGACAAGTAACAATTAGAAAATCAACTTTCTCGTTGTTGATGTTACAATGATTCAATTTGTCGCCGATAATCAAAGGCTCACCTTACGCGACAATGCCATTCATTTCATATGTATTATTCAACCGCGATTATTATTAAAATTTTATCAGCTTCCCAGCTGGGGTGACACGTGCATTATGAAAGTAGATAATCGAACAATTAAGTTTGATTTATAAAAGCATTCGCTAAATGCCGCAGCAGAGAAGCAATTGTCGTAAGCGCACAAACAAAAGGGAAAATGTTAGTCCTTACTATCGAACAACGACTGGTTGTCGCCTCTTATCAATGGATGTCCTGTCCTTCTAGCCGACAGCTTCTTCTTCATCAGCAGCTCCTCTACCGTCTCCTCGGGATCTTGGCTATCGACCAGCTGCCGCTGTTGTTGGACGCCAGACCTCACCCTCCTCTGGGACTGCTCGTGTATGAGATACTGATTGTTGCCTCGCCGCTTCTGGATGTCGAATTCCAGCTTCCTCTCCTGGCCATGTCTCACTCTCTCGCTTTTATATCCCTTGCCGCGGGACGAGGAGGCTGGACTCTTGCTCTGGGAGTGCCCATTCAAACCGGTCACTGTGAATTTCCCGAGGTACGGGCATTGCCGGGGCTCTGGCGAACTCGCTGAAAGAATGGAATAATTACGACTTTAGCGTTTCGCTACTTCGGGTCACAAAAAAAAACGAATATTGTTTATAGTAAGCAGTAGATTATCGGACCAATGTATATATATCTATATATATATATATACATATATATACATATATATACATATATATATATACACACACACATATATATATATATATATATATATATATATATATATATATACACATATATATAGGCATAGATGAAATCCAACTTGTAAGGGATCGCGATAAGGGACAAGTACTAAAATATATCACATATTCTTGTTATTTCCGAAAAATTAGATTTAATTTCAAATTTATTGCCCCCCCCCCCCCGCTCCCAGAACAATATTAGTCTTATATTAATATCATTGATATCGAATTATTATTTTATCCGCTGCATATTATTAAACATTACTTTACATAATTGTCTTCACTTACTTTGTCGTACTTGGATAGAAATATAAATACTAATGATGCTTGGTTAAGTATTCTCAAGTGTTCGATACTTGTCAAGTTTATATAAAAATTTATATCCATTTTAAAACGTTTCTCGGTAAATATTTCATAAAAAGTAATGCCTGGAAGCACAAAAGACTAATTTACGAGCTGATAATTTTTTTCTTCATTTACCCGTGACCGTGACAATTTATAAGGATCTTAAGTTACATAATTACTTTTCAAAACCATAAAAAATGTATTAAACTAATAACACGCGATTAACTTTGGGAAAAGTTAACCAGAAATTTATAAAAGTAAATTTTCGTAGTAAATGAAAATTAAGTACGATGATATTCTTAAGCTATAAATGTGGGATACATTATTAAACTCTCATTTTAATCAAATTATAAGCTCTCTTTACTGTACCGTGCTATTCCAAATTCGTATTCTTAATACAAATATTCTAAATACGTAATTGAAAAACTCTCGCGTATTAAATATTCGTCTTTGTAATTTTCAAATGACTGTTATTTAGTTACTCATAAACAAGTACGAATCGTATAATCATCACAAAGTCATGAAATAGAAAATTTACCGAAGACTTATTACAATATACGTATAGGGAAAAAAAATGTCGAGCCCATGTACCAAACAGTTAGAATTAAAGCTCAACATTCCCTAACTTCTCGCACGACGACGTCCTATTATCTAACGACTATTGATGTTCATTAATTTTTTGTTTTTACTCCGGGAAAATTAGCCAACGTTACAGCATCTGTTTTTAGTTAGTTAAGATCCATCTCCCAGCATTAAACTGCGAGCATCGCAACAACTCCAAGATGTCACAGTAACTGTAGTTGTAGTGCACTGGAATATCGATCCTCTGCCTTGGTGTTCGCGCCTTAAATCATTGTCACATCTCCGCTTGTCAACCTTGGATTCCGCGGTTACCGCACTATTTTTGTCTTTATCCTACTCTATTTACATTTCCTCCCTTTTCATTTATCGAAATTTTTTCACCCGAGGCTCATTATTTTTAATTTTAGTCTGTGGAAACTGGACACTAGTTGGGCATTAAATTATAAAACATTTTTTTTGTTAGACTGTTAGGTTTACTTGTTCTTCTGTGAATGTATATATATATATATATATATACATATATATATATATATATTTAACTATTCTTTTATTTTTTATTTTTTATTTTTTCCTACTTTTCTTTTACAATGCACGCTTTATAATGTTGCAAGTCTGCTCCAATGAATAATGGTTCACTGAGATCAATTTTAATGTAGGTAAGTCAGAAGTAGGAGAACTAATTGACTGTGGGATATTGCAAAAACAAGGATGCTCTATGTATCTGATTAATTTTTCATATTTACCTGTAATTTACTTTACATCACACGGTAATGATACTTTGCTTATTTATTATCACATTAATTTTGCACATGTCGATCAATTTTATGTTTCCGTATATTTTACCTACGAATTTTCTGTTCAAACATTAAATTTTTAATATATTGACAAAACGATTAACCCTTGTTGATATAGTTTGATTGAAGCAATACATATATATACTGAGCAATAATATTAATTTTGGATCATATTCCAAATATAAATTGCGACAAATTTATACTATTCTATTACATAGAATTATTTTTTTATTATTTATGAGTAAATACATTATTTTACGTATAAATATCTGAATAGAAATCGATGATTTTCATTGTTCAAAATAAAATGTTAGATTGTTATTTTAACTTTTTAATTGGATTTATTGTTTTGTGAATTGATATGCTGCGTGCAAATAATAACGGTTCATTGATAAAGAATTATATTTCATTTGCAATAAAACTAAATTAACATTGAAAATGGTACCGAAAATGGAGTAGTCTTTCATAATGAATCAATATACATTGATCACACTTATATATAATATAATATAATATTATAAACTAATGAGATAATAATAACCTAATATGAACAACTATTTTCACACAGATGAATATTTAAATCCTTTAAATGTTTAAAATTATTTGATAAAATAATATTATTATTTTCCAAGCCTTTTTTGTAAGTTAAATTCTATTTTTATTTTTTATTTAAATTGATTTTATTATTATATATATATATATATATACATATATATATATATATATTTAACTATTCTTTTATTTTTTATTTTTTATTTTTTCCTACTTTTCTTTTACAATGCACGCTTTATAATGTTGCAAGTCTGCTCCAATGAATAATGGTTCACTGAGATCAATTTTAATGTAGGTAAGTCAGAAGTAGGAGAACTAATTGACTGTGGGATATTGCAAAAACAAGGATGCTCTATGTATCTGATTAATTTTTCATATTTACCTGTAATTTACTTTACATCACACGGTAATGATACTTTGCTTATTTATTATCACATTAATTTTGCACATGTCGATCAATTTTATGTTTCCGTATATTTTACCTACGAATTTTCTGTTCAAACATTAAATTTTTAATATATTGACAAAACGATTAACCCTTGTTGATATAGTTTGATTGAAGCAATACATATATATACTGAGCAATAATATTAATTTTGGATCATATTCCAAATATAAATTGCGACAAATTTATACTATTCTATTACATAGAATTATTTTTTTATTATTTATGAGTAAATACATTATTTTACGTATAAATATCTGAATAGAAATCGATGATTTTCATTGTTCAAAATAAAATGTTAGATTGTTATTTTAACTTTTTAATTGGATTTATTGTTTTGTGAATTGATATGCTGCGTGCAAATAATAACGGTTCATTGATAAAGAATTATATTTCATTTGCAATAAAACTAAATTAACATTGAAAATGGTACCGAAAATGGAGTAGTCTTTCATAATGAATCAATATACATTGATCACACTTATATATAATATAATATAATATTATAAACTAATGAGATAATAATAACCTAATATGAACAACTATTTTCACACAGATGAATATTTAAATCCTTTAAATGTTTAAAATTATTTGATAAAATAATATTATTATTTTCCAAGCCTTTTTTGTAAGTTAAATTCTATTTTTATTTTTTATTTAAATTGATTTTATTATTTATGTACTATATATATATACATATATATATATATATATATGCACATATATATGTAATACTTACTATTACTAAGATATTAGGTATAAATGTATAATTATATTGATGATATTTCATTTTTTAAAATTACAATTTAAATTAATTTGCTAAGTGGCTCTATATGGAATGACTGATTTTAATTAAGAATATTATTATTTAATTATAACAATATTATACATCGATTCCTTATTAGCTCAAAATTCTTTAAAAACATTAATCTTGTTAATTTATGTACAGGAAATAATATTTCTGACTTTTTGTTAACAAAGAGATAATTGAAATTATTATATATTTATTTGTTCGATATTAAGGGTTCGATTAATTAAACAGTTTATAATTTTAAAATAAATTTTTTTTTATATACACAGTTATATTAGAGTGAATATCAATATTTCAAAAATTTTATAAGAGTAAATAATAATAGAAGAACATTAACATAAGTTTACAACAATTTTATGATTTCTTTATTGTAATATTATTTCATTAACGTAAAAATAATGAATAGTTAAACATTTTTGTTTTTTAATAGCTGCTTCTGTTCATATAAACTAGTAAAATATGTTAAAATTATAGTCAATTTTATTAAGCGATGCTTTACTGATATAAAAATCTCGAATTTATTTGTTAAATTTATTTAACGAAGTGTGATTTGCATGAAAGTCACAGCCAACGAAATGGAACGAAATGGAAACATAATGTAGATGTCACATTTGTAAGCTTCGACTCTGGTATACACTTTTCGCTTGCCAAAATTTTTTATTTCTAATAATTTGAAAGGAATAAGAAATGTAAAATACATGTAGTCGTCGGACCTATTCGAAATCGTAGAATTGAAAAGATCACAGAGTAGAATAGATGGTAATCGACGTTAACGACAATAGGAAGATGGCGTGGTAGAAGGAAATCTATAGATACATAATTATGGAGAGATTGTAAGCAAAAATAAAAGGATAGATTGGCGAGGATTGATAAAGTTTCCATCGATCCGCGAGCATAAAAGTTTTCCGTTCGGTCCAACAAATAATTTTAACCGTTGAATCGCAGCGCATAGCGGCCCGACCAACGACGCCACCAACGCAGCATTCAGCAGCCGCTTCTGCCCCCTCCTACTCTTCTAAATCTACCTGAAACTACTTTTCTTTCCCCGTTCCTCGGAAAAGAATCTAATTATCGTATCAGGCGGATCTAGGCACGCCTGTGAACACGCGAGACTTCGAGGCGTGACGGGGCGCGTTTCTCGTAAATGGAGTGAATGAGAGCGGTGAAGGCCGAATGAAAAAGAGACGGTGATGGGGCGAGCGAATCGAGGATTGGAAGAGTTCGGGAACCGAAAATGAATGGTGAGCGGGGATTGTGGAGAGTATGGGAGGGATGAGGGGCTGGTGGTGATGTTAGTGGGGCTGGTAGGG